TTTCAGACGATTGTTTCGAAGACAAATTGGTAATTGAAAAGTTGAAAGATTTACACATTTTTTCCATCAAAAAAAAAAGTTTTATGTTCAGAAATTAAAAATAGTAAGAAAATTTTTTAGCGATTTTTTTTTTTTTTCAAATTACGAGTTGAATGACAACCTTTCTACAGTTATTAATTTTTTGCTTTTTTTTTTTTTTTTTTGGCTGTTGTTAAAGTTTGAAAGAATCTCCTTTTAATATTCAGAGTTTCAACTTACATTCTTTCACATTTTTATACTTTATACCCGAGAAAAATGACCAGCGTAAAAGAGTTGCAAATTTAGACTTGTCAACGTTAATAAGAAAAAAAAGAAATAGCAACCAGAAATCAACTTCTGCATTGTGCAGCTTATAATCAGTTTTACTTATTTACTTAGCTGACTGCTTAAAAGCTGTGAAGAATTTCGTAGTTTTTTAATCTCTGCTAATTTATTTAATTTAATCGTTTAAGGTACAAAATTGCAAAAAAAAAAATAACATTAAAAAAATATAGCTAAACGATGAAAATAAAATGGGAAACAGTAATCAGTTAAAGATGTATAATAGAATCAACAAAGAATCAAAAATACACTGATCTGCCTATAGCATCAATAAGCAATTTATTGCTTATACACTACACTAAGTAAATGCAGCTGCCAGAATCTGTTAGTCGACGACCTGTTGCTGTGACCTTTTTTGATGACCGATCGGTCACCTCAGAGCAGTTTTTATAACCCAAACAATAATAATTGTTATTCAATATATAATTTAACATTATAGCAACAACTAAAAAAAATTGGAAGTGTTTTAAGAACGTTTTTAACTATGCTATTACAAATAGTTGAATTATAAAAACAAACTTATTTATGATCCCATGGCTCCAAGACTTGAGCTCTACCTTACAAAGTTTAAAGAAAATTTTATGACAATTTTTACATACAACAAATCTTTACAGCACTGAGTTAACTGTTTTAAAGAACAAAAAAAGAGATGCCAAAGTTGTGATTCTGTGAGACTTTAACAGTGATTTATTGTTGTTGTTCACTTACTATAATAAGTTATTCTGTGATAGTAAAATTAAAAAGGATAATTTGTAGTATCCTAAGAGCTAATTTGTAGAAAATACTTGATAATACTTACCGTACCGTAAGTGGTACAGAATGAATATGAAGAACGATAAGATCATACTGT